ATTTAGATTTAATTGTAGTCGATAATTGTTCGATACGTTTAACTTGTTGAATAAATGATATAGACGAATGTTGTGTTGCTGCAATTGTTGTTGTTGTTGTTATTGACGATTTCATAGGAGGTATAGTTGTTGATGGTACATTACCACAATGAATAGTTAAAGGTATCGATTGTCGATTTATATCTCGTTCACATATAAATGCTTGTTCATCTTGACATGGATGTTTTAACCAACCATCTGAAGTACGTAAAACACATTTTCCACTAGTAGGTGATGATCGCCATGGCCACCATGAATGAACTAAAATGTACATATATAGAAAAAACGATGTTCGATTTATGTTTCGGAAATAAGAGGGGACTTGAATTTCGTTCCAAGTTAGAAATTTTTAGTGAAACTATCAGGGTCTCCGATTAGGAGAGACTGGGGGAGGGCGGTCTAGCCCCCCTCCCAAAATTCGAAAATCAGTCTGTCTTTTTGCCAAAATTTTTAAAGTTTTGCTGAAAACTTGGTCAGAAACCTAATTTTTATGCCATTTTCGCCATTTTTCCGCCAGAAACCCCAATAAAAACACTTTGTCGGGCAACATTCCGCAGAAAGTGTATAGCTTAAGTATTTTTTACGGTATATGCGTCAGAAAGCTATATGACTGCACTTTCTGATAAATTTTAGCCCCCCTGCCCCCGCTTTTGAAAACAATCGGGAACCCTGGAAACTATAATTAATAAAATATGAATTGTAAGTCTTATCAATGGTCAATGTTTATACTGAATGAATTCTTACAAAAAAATGAACTGATTACGACGATCAACTAGATGAGAATCATAGTCTTTTTATTTCACACTTTGATGGATTCAAAAGACTAAGTTGCGTGAGTTATACATCATTAAATCTGTCATTTCAAAACTACAATCAAATTCATATACGTCATTTTTTATATACTACACATTATAGTTTAACCTTGAAATTGAATTTTCAAGGACTAGTAGTATTTTAAATAAATATCAATCATTTTCGGACGCACGTCAGTAATCATTTAATTACTCGATGTTACCCGAGAGTAAATTTATCATAAATGTCTTATCCTAACTTCGTGATATTATTCTACATTCTCTACAGTAAGTAGACATATCTTATGCTAGACGACTTAATCTGTTAATTCTTTACCAATACTATACATCTGTAATCAATCAAAATAATTACTACCCATTCCAAAACAGAAGGCGGGCGGGTACGTTTTTTGAATAATTTTCGGTGCGTCTTCCTCACCTCTCTGTCTTGTTCCTATCGAACGTTATTCAATAAATACCCACCTACTTTTTATTTTGAAAATGGGTGGTAAAAATTCGCAATAACAAATTTCATTTCGTTCATGCTTACTATTATATTTCTCTTTTTCGTTCGATATCCAAAACGATGTGGGTAATTGTTTATCTTTATTTGTTAGAATAAAATAAGCTAATTTTTTCTCTTGAATAATATCATGTAAATGAATTAAATTCGATTGTATTGATAAACATTTGTCATTTGCTATATCCCATGTTTGTTTTTCTGAGAAGATTTTTATACATTTCGAACCAAGAATATATTCATCATCAGAACATTGATGATAACCTAAAAGTAAAATCTCGATTGAAAAATATATTTTGAAAGAACAAATGTTTTACCATTTAAACGAATCCAAAAACCTGATTGACTTAATGTTTCATCAGTTTGAAAATTTAAATCAAGTCGATTTTTCGCTGTTAATAATGATGCACCAAATGGAATTGTTCCCGTAAAAGATAACAAATGATCATTATCTTGTAAATTAAATGAAAGATTCTAAATAAAAATATTCACGTTTTTTTTGTTTATTCTTATACGAAAAAATTTACTTCAACATCGATCATAACATTCGATTTTTTCTTCGATTCAATTGAACAAGTACAATTAATATTATTTGGATATTCATTCGGAAACATTGGACTTATTAAATTTATTCCATTTATTAATGTTAGACTACGTTTTGAACAAACATCGAGAACTGTTGAATCTAAAAAACAAAAATTTAATCGAAATTCTTTCTTATTTATCACATACTTTGAATACATTGATATGAAATAAATAAATATGTTGCTTCATCGGAACATTTATGTATAAATTGTTGTGTTAAAACAACTTCACATTTCGATACACCATTACAAAGTTCAGCTATTTTATGTGTATAATCCATAATACAATCATTTTCAGATGGTTCACATTTTGTTAATGGATTCATTTTTTCCAGAGATTTTTTCGTACCATAATGTGACCAACCAATAAGTATAAATTCATTTGATTTACAATTTATATCCATATGATTAGCAAATTCTTTTTGTGTACATTGAGATTTTGAATACCATTCATTCGATAATGTTAAATGAAAAATGAAAAAAAATAGAAGAAATATTCTCAACATTTTTCTTATAAATCTAAAATATAAAAAAAATTCAAATGACTTTTAATTAACATACTCTATCACCTACGGGTAAACTTTATTAAAAAAAAAAAAAGAATGTGATATGTACAATGGCATGCCTTGAAGGTTCAGTTATGTATATACATATTGTAATCATTGATCCGTATGGTAAATTAAACGCGTAAATGAGTGGGCAATGTCATTGTTAAAGCGTAATAAAACCTTAATTCATGTTGATCTAAATCTAACCACTATTTATGCTCTAATGAACTTACCAAACATTTCTCTCTCATAGTACCACCATACAATCTTTATTATAAATATGTTTCAATGTTCACACATGGTAATATGAAAAAGAAATTCCAAATGTCAACATCTTCTTGATGATGCAATTGTAATATACATATTAATCAATATGTCGAGTCATCTTATGAAAACATTATTTTTAACTCGAACGAGTCAGTATAAGTTCGATTTCTTCTAAACTTGAGAGAAAGACTTACTATTAGTTAGTCGAAGGAGAGAAATACTTGTCGTCGCATGACAAGTATTATATTCAAGTATCGACGACAGACAGACAGACAGACAGATTGAACAGCTAATTGTAAATGCATACTTCAACAAACTAACTGACAGAAAAAGAAAAAAAAAAAGAAACTATACAATAATGTTATGTTCGATATAATTTATAGAAAATGATGACACTGTACATGAGTGAATATTAAATCACAATTATATCAAGTCACACGACGATAGCTTTTTCTCTTCCGTTTCGCGAAATGAGGAGAGAAAGAAGATCAATTTCATTTCAATACACGATGATGACGAGACAAGAAATATGAGCCATTTGAATAATTATAATACGAGCGAGAGAAGGGGAAAGAAAAACGAATGGAATGAACAATTCTCGTGATGACTATAATACGATAGTTATATCTCACTTGAGATGAAAAAATAAAATGTTTCTTTTTTTCAGTTATTCTAATGATTTCACATTTGTCTTATGTTAGTTATTCTCTCTGATCTCAGTACAACATATATATATATATATAAATCAATGATACTTTGCAGATTTCTACTATAAAAAAGATCAAACAACATCTATCACTTGACCTTTCCTTCATTCAAAAAAAAAAGAAGATAAGACTCTACTCTCGAAAGAATACCGCCTTGTCATTCTATTTGAACTTCTTGTTTTCTATTTTGTTTTATAGTCTAGATGAGCATTCATTTGTCAAACTTTCGTTTAAGTGAGTGAGTGACATAAGAGAAAAGACATATATATGCACGCGTGTGAGAAGCTAATAATAAAGGGGAGGGAATAGAAGAATACGAAAGGATCAAATAACATGCGACAAAATTATCTTACGTCAATCTCAAACGAACTTATTATTATTCATTAATTTAAAAAAATAATGTATTTATCATCTTCGTATGTGTTTATGTAAGAAAAAATATGATCACTAAATTAACTGATATGATAAAATGTCAACTAGAATCCCTGCAGATCATATACATCTGTATTCTAATCTCAAAAACATCAATTAGACTTAATATGATTACTTGACCTTTTGTTCTTTTACTAATTATCTAATTTTAGTTCGCAACAGGAGATATGATGTTATTTCTTTGAAGTTCTAAATTTTCACCTGTTGTTAATTTTGTTTATATAAATATAATGATTGAAGACCGAGAAGAATAAATTTTAACACTAGTGTCACACATATGTTCGAACTCCAACTGTTACAACTCACTCAGACATATATACGTGTCATCAATAAACGTTTAGTTTTGTATGAATAATACTGATCAACATTGTCCACATGCAAAAAAAAATGCTAGTTGAGTAGCACTATTGTCGATTTCCAGCTGTTGAACGTATAGAGAAGAAAAAAAAAACAATACTCAAATAGATCATTGATCATTGTGAGAAATGATTCAGACATATTTTCTTTTCAAGGTGTATACGTTGTCAATAATCATTATATGAAAAGTCACAAATAAGGGCGTGGTTAATCATATGCATAGAACAAAACAAAAAAAAAGACATGAATCATTGCAGATGGGATTCTAATGAGTGTTACAATGTTAAATTATTCTGATTAACAGCAGCTGTTTAAAGAACTTAACCGAAAGTGATTTACGAGTTCAAACGATATATAGATCAAGATAAAAACAACTTCTCTGTCTGATCATTATCATTATACATCAAATCATCTCATCTTCTTCTTCCGGAATAGAAACAAAGATCTAACAAATGTTTTGCTTATAGACATCATTAAGGACTAGTGTATATTCATCTTACCTTGTTCTATTCAATGTTGCCGTTAAAAATGACCAATATATAAACGAAGAGAGAGAGAGAGAACGAGAAGAGAAGGGAGGAAGAAGAAGAAAAAATACGTTCGTAAGATCAGGTAGTAGTGTTTCCGTCGAATATTGAAAGGCGGAGTTTGAGAAAAGAAAAAAATTTTAATCGGCTTTTTCCATATGAATACATATATAATGTATTTATAATTCGTTAATAACAATAGAACATTCGATTTTTTTCTAATTATCGCTTCCGGACTTGTCTAGTTGTTAATCAACAAAAAAACATAATTAATATCTCGATTTTTTTCTCTTAAAATAAAGCTTAGCAAAAAATCTGTTCAAAACAAGAAGCTTTACGATATATATACTCGATGATTTGTATCTTTAAAAGACCATACCTGTCATAAATACTCTATCAATTGAAATATATATACTAAAGTAGCCTTAGGGGTGTTTCATATATATATATTCAATTTACGTATTTAGACAATCACACATCATAACTCAATAAATTATATGATTTAATTTATCAATCATATGACTTCCCACGACAAAACACATACCTATATGGTAATCTGATTTAATATATAAACGTAGACATACATGTGTGTATATAAAGCTGGCGCTTTTCATATTGATATATGTTATTGTGTAATAGAATAATGATATCCTAACACATTAGTATATTTAAGAAAAGTCAAATATACATTTCGTCTATTTACTTTACTTTATTAAACAAACGAATGCGAGTCGTTTTACTCATACACATACCAAACTAATCGATCACTTCTATTCGGCTAACAAAATGTAAATATTTGAATTAAGAGAAAACTACAACTTTTTCTTTTTCTCTCGAAGAGAATACTATGTTTCTATCATTAAGTAGGTATGAGACATGAAAAGTCGGAAAACTAATAATAGTACTTATCTATACTGATTGTTATAATTATAAAGAAATTGCCGTTCAACTAAAAAAAGAAAACGCAATAGAAACAAGCTTATAAATTCTTTTTTCCTCATTCAAGGCTGATGCTTGTCATTCCCAAAGGTGAAACGTAACATCATCATCATCATAGAAAAAAAAATTATTACATTTATTCATTTGGAAAACAATCAAGGTTATTCATCTCGCTTAAGTTTTTTTCTCTTTTTACTTCATTTAATTCAATTCGAAATGTTCATTTAACATGCAAAGTAAAATTTCTCTCCTATTAAATATTCATTTATTGTCGAGACATACTACCTGGCGTCAGATTGAAAATATGTAACATATGAAATTTAAATAATAAAAAAATATTTAGATAACTATGATTAACAAAGGAAAGAGAGAGAGAAATGAATCTTTATTCTTTCTACACGTGTTTTATGTTTGATCAATAATGTTTCGGTTCATTTGATTTTTTACTCATTTTTTTCAATTACAAAATTATCTGATATCGATCTTCATCATTAGATTTGTAATTAGAAAAGATTTATTCGTTTTCAAAGAAGTTCACACGTTTTACGATATGGATGATTTATTTGACGAACAAAACGAAAATCGTTTAATAATAATTGATTACCTTAAAATGAGGATTTATATATATATGAAATAAATGATGATAACTGCTTGTATCTATTTATAATTCATCGACAAAAAAAGATAATAGAGAATCTACTTAAATAATAACTATTTCTATTTATATATATATAGGTATGTATCTTATTGCGCTCATCAAGAAGTACTTGCTCATAATTATAGTGATGAATCGTTAGTAGAATGCCGCTATACTTATCCAAAAGGCTTTACACTTGCTAATTTTGAGCATCTGTGAGTAGATTCATTCTTTCTTCGCGTCATCATAAGTTGTTTCAGCTAATTCCGGTACACGTAATCTACATATATATATATATATATATAGACACAGAGAAACAGGAGAGAGAGAAGAGAAGAGAATATTGCGTGAGCAAAGCAGTAGTGCCATTGGCGGTACACTGTACAATCATGTTAGATCTCCGTTGGGGGAAACAAACGCACATACGCGCACTCAATCAATGAACAAATGAGTAACATCATGATCATCTAAGATCAGCACACACACAAAAAAGGTTATTTCCAAAAAGTAATGTTCATATATATGCTCTATTGAAGAGTGACAATATAACCTTGATCAAATCAGTATGATAACTCATCATAAGTAGCTTCTTATTATGAAGAGAAGAAGAATAACAACAAACAGCTGTACTTAATCTTTAACAAACACCTGTCAATCAACTTACTATACTATTCTATATAAATCAGTATCTATTTAGAGAATAATGTCAAATAGTTTTATATGACAAAATGAAATCATTTGTATTATACAATATAATGTCGGATATCTGATTGAATTACTAATAAGTCACGATAAATGTAAAGTTCATTACCTTCTTTTTCATATTAGACATTTGTGCACGTAATCAAGAAATTGGATCTTCTACTTCTTATTAAATATAAAAAAAGAAAAAAGAGCGGAAGAGAAAAAAAGAAGTATTTTATCTTCAACTAAGTTATTAACATGTGCGTGTAT